TGCTATAGGAAAGTTCGTTAGATTCAGAGTTGACTGTAGTTATAAAAATGTGAAATTGGAAAAATGGTAAATAATAAATACAACGATCTATATAATAAAAAAACTTGTTTCTTATCTTTTCTTATTTTGTTTATAATATACTATCTTTTCAAACTTAATTATATTTGAAAGTTCTCATTCTGATGCATCTTCTGATCTACTTTTTAAGTCAAAAATCTTTGAACTGAAGAAACATCATCTGACTAAAAGAAAAATAGTTGCCTATTTTTAGAGATGTCAAACTATACAAAAAAATGTTAGTTTTTTATATTTTTTATATTATTAGATTTATTATTTTTTATTTTTATTTTTTTTTTTGGTGTTCAGGTGGGAACTTGCCCATGCCTTTATTTATTGTTAATACTTTCATTACATGTATTACTACATTTCTGTATTTACATATATCAAGTACACCAAGCTCAGACTCGAATCCTATTGGTTATCTATGCTCTGGCCAAAACCATCACTTGCACGATAGGTGTCTCCATCTGCTATCTGGCCACCGATCCATTATCTGCAATCCAAACCTACCAGAGCGGTACGTCCAAGGATAGCACTCACCCGGTATTTTTCTACCCTTTACTAGTCCTATTTTGGTATACTTCCCTATGATGTTATTCTCCGCATCTCTCATATCACTTATACCTAAGCTCCCAAATTTGGTAGTCCTTTCTGGGATATGGCCTCGTAGCCTTAAGGGCTACTTCCAATCTTGGTTATCTTCAGCTAGACTGCCCAGGTAGTATCACGAAGAGGAACTCATGCTGGCCCAGGTTAAGCTTCGTCATTAATGCCTAGTTTAATTAGTATGCTGCCGATTTCCGTTACCTTTATAGGTAGATACTCCCATGTGTTGGTGCAAGCTCGCTATATTGCGTTACAGGTTACCCCATAACTTCCAGATTGCAGGTTTCGTATTACTTCTCTTTCATAATTTGAGCTATGGTGTTCTGGTGCCTGACATTTTAGGTTACAGAGCTCTAGGAGTCTAGACTTAGTTGCGGCTTGCGGTCTGTAATACTTCTAATTTCAGTATTTGGTGCTCCTCATTAATTTCTAGTATACAAGCCCGATTTGTACAATTGTACTACCAGCTCGGTGAATCCAGCCATTTCGAGTTTTTATCACATAACCTGAGTTTCAGCCTTCTCGCTCTGTCCTCACAGGTTTCTTCTTTAATAGGCCAAGTGGCTTGGGGCTAGAGATGCTTCCGAACTCTGAATGGACCAATCCTTTACCACAAGTCATCCTCGTGTTCACCACTTTTCTCACTACTCCAGTTTTGTTACCGTCGTATCACTCTCCCAATCAAGTACCCCAACCGCTGAGAATGTTGGTGCTGCCCCGGTCACCCCTAATCGAGGACTAACATGCGCAACCTTTCATATAACAGAACCTTCCATGACCCGTCATACGTAGTGCCACCACTCCATGATTGGACCTCCTTCTGAGAATTTCCTTTTTCGGGTTCGTACTTGCACTTGAACTTAACTACAGGGTTCTGCATTCAATTATGGCCCCCTATTGGGTTACAGAAGCTAAAAATCCTAAGATTTTGCCTCCAGCCCGACTTGAACTGTTGACCTAGTCTGTGGGGGTTTGGCAGCTTAACCTCTAAGCTATAGGGCCCAAACCCTATATTATTAGATTTATAAAAACTTCAGCTATAAATTTGTTTTAAGGAATGTTGTATATTATAACTTAAGTTTTAGGCAAAATCTTTAAAAATGTAATTACATTGATGTATAATTTTTGAAAATTATATGATAAAATTTTAAATATGACAAATCAGATGACTGATATATTATCAAAAAACTTCAAATTCTAAAAATCTCTATCGATCTTATTTTTTTACAATTTAAAATATCAGATATATCTGATTTTTTATTCTTTATTAAATAAATTTTCTTTATTCTTTATTAAACTAATATTTTTAACAATTTTAATCTTAAATCTTCTCAAAACAATTTCTATTATCTTTTACTCAGTGTATAAAATTTATGTGCACAATATGCTCAGTACACTTTTTTTAAAAAAATTTCATATGTTTTTGGATAGAAATATGCACATAATTCACAAACTTTTGGGCCAAATAGTGCATCATAATTATTAGTAAATACTGAAGATGTGCACATAGAGCATATTATACATATATATATATTTAAATTTATTGTTCGAAGGACATTATGGTAGAGGCATAATGACCTGTTTGTGTGTGTATCCGCAAATTAAGGGTTTTGATTGGTTGATCTGTTAAAAACAAACATTTGCTCCAAAAATACCCAGATCCGTGATCAATTATAAAAAAGCAATTTTAAGTCCTTCGGACCTTAAATGGTTTCTATTTACCTAGTATATATAAATTTAATAAATTTAAATTATATAACAAAATCATATAGTGCACAAATTTTTAAACTTATTCACATAAATTATGTATACATTGTGCACAATATTCACATACTTTTGGGTTCAGATTTTTTTTCTTTCAGCAATCCTGTTTACTTTATTATAAGAACAGACTTTTATTCTTACATCGGCATACGAAGAAATTTAAATCTATAGTGTTCTAACCAAAAAGTAAACTCACCCACAGCATACTTCGCAGTTGTCAAAACATCCATTTGCAGTTAGAATGAACCATTAAACCGCTGTGTTTTGCTCAGATATGACCTGCCTAGCAACACTTGGCTTCCTCCAGAGATCCGAAACTTACTCCAGACTTATTTTTTCCAGATTTTTCGGCTAGCTGTTGCTCACCCCGTCAAGATTTCTGCTCTATAATAGAATGCTGTCAAACTGATAACACTTTCTTATAGAGAAGGAAAAAAGAAAAAAAAAAAAAGAATAATAGGGAACAAAAAAAAGGGTATATAATAAAAACAAATACATCAAAAAAAATGAATACTAATACTAAGAAATATAAAAAACTAGACTAAAAATCTAAAAGAAACTATCACTAAAAAGAAGAAAACCTGCTGACTAGGCAAAAACTTCTAATTATACAAAGTAATGATCTACTATTAAGTGCAAGAGTCTTGACAAAAATGAAAACATAAAACTAAAACAAAATACACTATAACTCATGCTAAAGACAAAATTATATACAAGAGACACGTTGTATATCTCAAAACACTTTGCTTGACTTTTCCTAATTAAATCTATATCTTCATCCGAAAGTATAAGGACTTTAAAAACTTCATATGACTTATTGTTATTATTTTATTCATTTCGTAATATATGCTGATTTGTCATCATCTAGTTTTCTAATATGAAAGTGGTAAACAATGCCGATTTTTTGGAGAGAGTAAGCCGAATTTCCCACTTTTTGTTGAAAATTTTGAAGCCAAAAGACAGCAGAGAAATATCGAGTTTCTGCGAGTTTTCCAACTAAGGAGTGTTGTTCTAAGAGTTTTTCAAAGTCTTCTATCTTCAAACAAACTTTAGTTTTCTTTTCTATTTGCTGTTCCTAGAGACTCCTTTAGTTTGGATGCCAAACGCAAAGGGAAGTCCACCCAAAAAGTACAGAGAACAAGGCTTGACCCCTTTGCAAGCTGTTCAAAATGCCCGCTTCTTGGTGTATTATGTTTAAAGACTTTATTAACAACAGTTTGTATTAAGAAAACTTCAAGTTGTTGTCGACTTTTAGACTTGAATCTTCAACTTGCTTTTGGTGTTAGGTTGATACAAGTGATTGTCAGAAAGAGTTGTGTTTTTGTTTGGATTCAGATTTTATATACTGCTTCTACTTATATTATACTATATAATCAACCCACTTACTATTATTTTTATACTCTATTATTTTATCAATAGCTATATATTTTATATAAACGATTAACACTTATACTATTATATCCAAATTTACTGCTTTTTATCTATACTTTGTAAACTTCTACAAAGTACTTATTTAATCTAGGTCAAGCTTACCTAGATTTGTATAAGCATAATAAATCTAAATAAATCTTAACCACTCTAATAGATTTAGGTTACAGATAAATTAGTCTAAGCTTTTATTCTTACAATGTAATTTTATTTTATTTGTACTTCTACAAATAGTAGTAATTTTGGTTACTATTACTAAATAAAGTTATTAATAAAAATATAAGCAAGGTTTCATCTTAATATCAAAAAAAATATAAAACCACATTACATTATACTATAATTATTCTTTAGTTTACTGGAGAATCATCAATTAAATTTCAATTTTAAACACTGTTAACCACAATACTATCAACCTACAGATTATATTTTTTATTTTAAAAAGTTATATCAATATAAAAATTTTTATAATTAACAAGTAATGACTTTTATAAAATCTACTATATGATCTTTATTTTTAAATATTATTAAAAAAATTTTTATTTAAATATTTTAAAATTTAAAAAAAAGTAGATCATATGTTTATAATAAATTTTCAGGCAAATTTGCCTGAAAAGCCCAACAGATTAAGAGATATTATAATTTAATAATAAATTATATATTATAACATATATCTTAAGCATTTATAATTAATTTTTTTATTTTAATAATAAATGTTTTCAATAAATACAATACCCAGAACTAAGAGCTAAAGAATTAAAAATCAAAACTATAAAAAAATTAAGACCACGCCCCCGGGGCAACGCCCGGGCCTGAGAGCTAGTCTCTAATAGTTATTTTTTCTATTTTCATACAAAATAAACATACAAAAATTTAATTAATTCTAAAAAAAATAAAATTTGAACTTCACACACTGCTTATCAGGAACAGTACTGACAGCCTGGTTAATTTCGTAACCACATGATTTATTTATATAATTTCAATACTTTCATGCAAATTCAAAAATTGTAAAAGCTTTAGTCCGATTTGAATTTAAAGAAATCGATATTTAGGGCAATACTTTTCGTATAAAAAAAAAAAAAAAAAAAAAAACTAGAATTCACAAATAGAACAAATAGTATTCACGACGAATACACATGAAGCCTTTAATCATTTAACTCTTCCCAAGATATTTGGACATTCTTTCGTTTCTTAGAACTATTATTAATAGATTTGTTCAATGTTACGGGATTGCTCTTGTTAGTACTTGCATGCAAAATTGCTGAATCAAAAGTTGAAATCGAAGTGGATATCAACGATTTGTCGTAATCAGAAGGCGAAGAGTTAGCTGATACAACAGTCGAAGAGGAAGATGGTGAATCTGGAATACTCAATTGAATTATGGTTTGATCTGTTGGATCCTCATGATATTCTGCCAATCGTCTCAGACTTTTCTCCACTAATTTTACCTGAGTTAAACTCGATTCTCGGAACTTTACAGGGTCATTCTCATGTCGCTTCGGATAAACCTTTTAAACACAAAACATAATTAGAAATAAAATATAAATCGTTAACATGTGCATATATTAATTGATGCTTTACTGGCGTTTTTTTGTATGAATGTTTGCTTGGGAAAGGGGGCATATACAATGGTACGTAATTCGGCCGAAACGTATGAGTTGATGACGTAAATGAATTTCTTTGTCGTTTGTTATTATTTGACCCATCAAAGTTCTCCTCTTCATCTTCTAATATTATATCTTCAGGCGCGAATATAGTTGAAGATTCTATAGCTGATGACGTTGGTTGTAATGATGATAAGAATTTTGAAGCAAAAGCGTGATAACTTTCTTTCGCTGTCAAATTTCCAGCATTGTAATTAAAAATATTTAGCGAGTAAGATCAATCGCACAGCATTCTTTGCGAGAATTGAAATTGTCAGTTACGTATTAATTTAAATAAAGCGCATTACATCGTGTTACCTCGACACTTTTCCATATGATCTTCAAGCGCACCCGTCCTGATGCTCCAATACTTAAGACTTTTCTCCACATCATTAATATTTGGTTGCGCTCTGCACGCAAGCTCAGCATAGGCCCGTGTAGTTTTGATTATATTACCAAGATCTGCAATAAATTCAATAGAGCAATTTGCTTGTTTACTTTCTTTCATGTGACCATTTAAATCACTTTTAAAGCAGCAGTATAATAATTACATAAACCCAACAAATCCCCTAGTGCTTCATATGCAGAAGGGGTAACGCTGGTGAAACCTGCTTCACGAGCAAAGAATACGCCAATTCTTCTATCTATTTCATTTGAAATCCATGGTCCAAGGGATGTTGAACCAGGCAGGTCGCGATTCAATTTTTTTCGTTCTTGTTCTTGAATATCACCCATGAAGTATACTTAGTTATCAAATCTATAACAAAAATCACAGATATAGTATAATATCTCGTGACACTAATTTGTAATACATTATATAAAATAATTAAGAAACTGACTGTACCGATACGCGTAGTTTACAATTCAGAATGTCCTCTCAAATTCAAAGTAAATTTACATTTTTTTCTTTGTCATCTATTTTCTTTTTAATATTTTATTATTAATGATATTAATTAAATATCAAGCACCTAGTCCTGGTGAAGTAACAGTTGCGGAAATTGATGGACGACTACGTAAGGCGTGTTAAGCTGTAAAGGCTTTAGTCGTTTTAAATCTCAATAGCATAGCAATTCTTTTATAGTGCAGTTAAAAAAAGCCCCGGATCCCAATATTGAAGTTTATGTTCGTGCTGAAGTAAATAACACAAACGATTGCTATTCTTTTCTAAAGTTAATAACACCTAATCTTATTTAATATATTATTTAATAGGGTGTGCTGTTTCCACAACTACAAATTCCGAACAATCTTAAAAGCCCGGAAACACTTCATCAGAGTAGACGAGTGATTGTTCAAAATTTACCGCCACGAAATGTTCTGAGTAAGACCGCTCAAAGAACTAAAGATTTTATTGAGTACGTAATTTTACGCCTTTCGATGTATATGAATCCTACAAATGATCTTATCTGTTTCTTACAGCCGCCAATTCAATTATGCGAGAGCCATGATTAGCGATTTTGCTGGAACACTCATCGATGCTCTTCCAAGTTGTTTATCTAATTCAATTTTTGATGCGAATACTACTCACCATATGCAATTATTACACGATATAAAAAATCAATATCCTTCAAAAATACTTGCGTGGCATCCGTATATTTCACTCTTTGCAATAGCACATAATGTAGATGTAATTTTCTTGTATGATTTACGTGTGGAAGGTGTGCATCCCTATGATTAAATATTTTTGGTTATAGGATATTGGGTTTCTCACGTCACGTTAACCTCATTAAATAATATAACCTTAGCCTGGTTTCCAGAAGTTTTAGAAACTACACTACAAAAAGACATAACATGTATGGCTTGGAAACCTTTAGGTGGAAATATTTTGGCCGTTGGATGCCAGTAAGTAATTATTATATATAGATTATTTAGGAAATGTTGGTAATCCTCCATTGTTCTGACTGCTTAAGACGTGGAATTTGTTTGTGGGAGTTAACATTTAATCAAAAGAAAAGTTCCGGCGAATCATCATCATTCAATGCATGGATGCGTTATCTTAATTATCCTGGGCATGAAAATATAGTGTCACTAGCCTGGCATCCCCATGGATAATATCCTGGAATGAAATATTAGTTCACAATTAAAGATGAATGTTACGTTATTGCTTCACTGTTTGTGCCTTAACTTGTGGCATAACCTCATTAGCGACAGGTTCGGCTGATGGATCGATCATACTTTGGAACACTTCGTTCGGAAACGGTGTGGCTTTAACAACAAGACATAAGGTTATGTTTTTGAGTTGGAGCCCGGTTGGAGAGTTTCTACTTGCATCATTTCTGTAAGATTTATTCTTTGTACTTATTCTTCGAATAGATTCCTTCTCTTTAATCTTTATTTGTGTTTGGCATTCTCAGAGATGGTAGGATTGAAGTATATGAAACACAACGATGGACATCTAAGACCATTAATACTTCATCACAGATTCCGTCCCGGCGACCGGTTCAAGTACATGCACAATTCAATATTAAGAAATTTAAATAATTATTAATATCTAAACTCTGTTATTGTCTTATTAGACTGCTTGTTGGACGGCAGATGGTCGTGCTTTGTTCTTATCGTTTTATGAAGACAAATGTATTCGTTGTCTCTCAATATCTCCAAATCTGGATGACGAATGGTTTCCTAAGGAAGATATGTCACATATTCCGAATTGGTAAATTAAATCTCAATACTCCATACTATGCTTTGTAGTTAACCTAATTATTTTTATTCATCAGTGCTGAAAAAACAATCGAGCAATTATCTATTGATCCAACTGGTGAGCGACTTGCCGTATGCTTCAAAGATACAGCATTACTAGCAATCTTTCATGCGAGAAGACCAACCCAAGTTTCTAGAGGTTCTAGTCTTTTGAATGTCCAAGGAATTGTTAGAGGACCATCTTGGAACGATCTTTCCGATCCAGGTGCATTTTTAGCACGAAGTGATCCAAAAGCAGTTTCAATCAATTTTGCGCGTCAATTCACGAGGGGGGCATTATTGAGTTTGGTCTGTATTATTATATTTATATTCGGTATGCACGACAAAGTTAGAGTGGTTTACTGACATTATTGATTTGAAGGTGTGGGAGGACGGTCAAATATCCTTTTTGCCGTTCCTTTTTCGTACTATTGGTAAGTGAACTAGTGTCCTGTGAAATGTCTTTTGCCAGTAAACATTTGTTATGTTGTTATGAATTTGAATTTCAACATAGTGTGAAATTATTATAAGAGTTATTTTAATAAAGCATAATGTAAAATATTTAAACTCGACTTTATAATTACCGTAAAAGTCGGACGCGAGTATTTCTACGTACCCATGGTACATCTGCACGGCATATACAGTGGAGTAGGACTTTAGCATCACCAATTTAAAAAAATTTCGGTTTGACACTTGATCTTGAATTTTCCAGGTAGCAAAGTTTTTTAAGCTGATGACGCTAGGGTGGTTTATCGTATAACTATATCTGCCTGGTATGATTATACTTGTTGGCAAAACCCCAAACCCCCAAAATATAATTGCTATTTATAAAAAATTGAATCAAAAAAGTAGTCTTAAAATGCAGATATATTATATATAGCTATAAATATGTTTAAATAAAGGATATTAACAAAGTTTTTAAGATATAAGTTTGGCCAGAGTTAGGTATTGGAGCGCGCCCAAACCCAAACTATAATCGTTTGGGATCTTGCCAACGTGTATAGGTATGATATATCTATGGGGTGTTAATAGAAATCAAGCAAATTTGATTTAGTAAATTGTTTTGTTAAACTTTAAATTATATTATTTTAACAATTATTAAATTAAACTTTTTATATAAAAATAAATTGCTTGGTTTGGATCACTTGTATTATGGGTGATATCTATTTTAAATCAATAATCCATTTTATTAGTGGTGTTATCTATATTGCAAGATTTTTTGATTTTTATTGACGCCTTTTTATATATTGTATTAGAAGATATTTTTTTTTATAGAGTTTAATCTTATATATAAAATATTAATTTGGTTAGAAATTATATATATGGGGGTGTCAGTAGAACCAGGCAAATTGTTTTTAGTAAGTTTTTTAAAATTTTAAATTAATTGATGATTCTCCAGTTAATTAAACAAAAATTTTTTTTTAAATTTTACTATAGATTCAAATGTGAAGTGTTTTTTCTAAAAAATTTTTTTACTAAGTAAATCACTCTTGGGTTTTTAATAAAAGTTGTAGAGCCTATCAAAATGTATTTAATAATGAAAAATATTAAAATTGACCTAGTGGTTTTTGAGAAATCTTTAAAAAACATTTTGTTGATATATATAAAATTTTTTTAAAAGCAATTAATTTTTTTTAAAGAAATTTTATATGTTAATAAAATGTTTTTTAAAGATTTCTCAAAAACCACTAATACTCTTCTACTATTAAATATATCTTGATAAGTTTTATATTTTTTATTAGAAGCCTAAAAGTGATTTATTTAATAAAAGTTTTAAATCATATCTATTGATTTGGTTTCATCCTAAAATTAACCAATTATAATTGAGAATTGTTTGCTATTAAAACTTATTACAAGGTAACAACAGCCTTTTAAACTTAATTTTAATCTATAATTTTGTATATATAATATTTTAATATTTATATGTTTAATTATTAGCTGAAAGTTAAAAAGATAGTTTTTTTGGAAATTGTTTCTGAATTTATTCTTATCTATTATACAACTGATTATTTAATTTTTTTTTTTTTGTAGTCAAGGTTAGTCTCTTTGGCTTGTCGCTTTTATTAGATTATAGAATCATGTGGTGTTCTTCTCAAGAGAGCCTCAGACAAGTACATTCTGACAAGGATACATTCTAGCCATATCTGCGCCTTTTGAGCATCTAATTAAGTAGCTACTTATTACTAAGTATTACACTAGATGCCATACCTATAACCTACTATTATTTGGATTACCTAATTAAACCTTCTGATCTGAGTTTCCTATGTCAATCTATCTAACTTCATCTGAAACATGTGATACATTAGTCAGTCCAAGTTTTAGAATCATCGCAGACTACCTATAGAACTATTGGTATGATTAACCGATTCATTCTCAAGTGCATTATCTGCTAGAGCAGTCCAGTACCTACTATTACTGTATTATCTAGTCTATTTTGGTAACTTATGCCTAGGCTGAGACCAAGTATTTGTGAGCCGAAGCCGCTACTGTTACCTACTTAACCCTTATAGAGTTCACCAAAACCTTAACACCTCCTCTTCAAGACAATCCAATACTTTCCCTTACAGTATCTTCTAGTCAGTCTTCCTAGACTACCAATCTAGATGGTCTGAAAAGAATGTCAGTCTTTTTCTCTGGTCGACCTGATGGCCTAATTGGTAGAGTAACTTGCCGATACTCTTGCCTCATCCAGTTTTTCAGTTTCGGGTTAAGCACTGTTGAAAGCTTGTGCTACCTCTCTACTCAGGTCTTGCCAAGCGGGCTTCCCATAGCGCCATTCATCAGATTTATACGATCCAAGGACTTATTATGAGTTTATGCCACCTTATTAATTTTGTATCCTCTTTGTGCAACTCGTACATTACACAAATGCTCCAAGATCTCTTTTAGATCGACCTGATAGTGCAATAAATATTCTTCCTATATAAGGTATGACCAATGTTATAGGATCTTCTTCCCAATATATGAGAGTGGCTGTTATATAAAAAAATTCAATTTTTTTACCATTGGTGGGAATTGAACTCTAGATGTGCTGCTTGGGGGAGTAACAACCTAACCACTTTACTAAATCGTTACACCCCCAACTAATTATTTAATAACAAACTAATCTTTCATTATCTAAAAATATTTGAACACTTTAACAACTAGTGATAGTGCTTTCTTTTACAGCTTAGTATAATATTCTTTGAATATTTATTGTTTATTTATTTTATATAGAGATAAAAAAATTATTATTATTTTTTTTTTAATGTTAAGGTAATTACTTTGGGTAGTGTTCGAAAATGGATTAAAAATCTCAGTTAATCTGAGATTGATCTGAATCTGATCTGAATCCGTAATTCGGATTGAATTTGGGAGTGATCTGTGCCAATCTGATGGTTTGTCACATATATTTGTCACAATATAAGTAATAAATTCAAATTTATCACGTGACAAATGCGAATTTATCACTTATATTGTGGCACAAGATGTGATACATTCGAATTTATCACATGACAAGTTCAAATTTATCATATAGAGTGATTATATAAAGACATGACCTAAAATTAGGCCCAATTCTGCTCAATCCGGGCCCAATCTGATATTTCAGAGGCCAAACCTAATCTGACGGTTTGGATCTGCACAAATCCGAATCTGATCCGTGCTGACTTTTTTGAACACTAACTTTGAGTTTGGCATGTTTTATTAAACTTTGATTCAAATACCAAGGCAATCATATAGATTACTCTTAACTTTTTTACATTGATGCAAGTACAATTGGTTATATATATAACTTTAGTCATTATTTATTTAAAGACTTTGCTATATCTATTACTATTTATAGTTACGCATCAATTGCTATATCTAAAATTTATCTGTAGATCCTCTATTTAAACTCTCTAATCAACTTAGCATTGTTAAATATTCTCTCCAAAGAACAACTACTGCTAGGGCCCCTTAGGATTATTTTATCTTTGTGGTAAATCTATTAGAGCAATTTATATCCTATATATGTTTCATCTAAATTTTCGGTAACTTACAGTATATTTAGGCTGTGGTCAAATACTTGTGGTATTTTATCTCCGCTGCTATTACCTACTTTGTGTCCTTGTAAAGTTCATCAAACCTTAGTATATACTTTTATAGACTATCAACAGTACTTCAATACTAACTAACAGTATCTCAAACTTTCAATCCAGATAGTTCAGAAGGGACCAGTGAGTATCTTCTGATATTTCAAATAAATTTTTTTTCCTCTAATTAATCTGGCAGCCTGGTTAGTGTAGTGCTTACCAAATACTCAGTCTTCATTCAGTTTTACTACTAGTGTATAGTTTTTTAGATAATAATCTTTTACATAGTATTATCAAAGATCTGTATTATCTTTCTATTTAGGACTTTCCAAGTAGACTTCTGTATCTCCTAATTTCTTATATTTATTTGGCTACTTTACTTGAGTTTTGTATAATTTATATATCACACCAATGTTTTGCAACTTTTTAGTACAAGCTGGTATAACCAAAGTTACAGATGCTTATCTGATTGATATGTTATATAGTTTTACTGTAACACATTCTGTAAATTCAAATTTCATTACTAGTGAGATTTAAACTCTTGTCTAGCCACTTGAAGGTGTGACAACTTACCAACTACACTAAGTTGTCACACCCTTAAAAACTATTTTATTTGAAGGTTTCATTTGTTATTCTTTATATCATTTAATAGCAGAAGTTTGTATAATAGTTTATTAAAAAAAGATCTTTAAAAATCAAATCGATAAATATATAAAGTGTTTTATATTTAGGCTTATAATAAAATTTATATATAAAAAAAATTTTGTTTAGTTAACTAGAGTATCACTAATTAAAATATCTCAACAACTATTAAACTAAATTTTATAAAATTTTTTTATTTTAATTTTATAATTATATTATATTAGCAAATTTAAAAAATTTATAATATTGTTCTAGAGGTATATAGTCTATTATAATTGTTTTAATAATTTCTTTTGGTTTATATTGCAGATTATTTCTATTTATAGATACAAAAATTGGTGATTACAACTAATCAACCTCTCTATTATAGAGAAATTAGTAAGTTGTAATCAACAATATAAAAATTATTAAAACAATTATAATAGACTATATACCTCTGAGACAATATTACAAATTTTTTAAATTTGTTAATATAATATAGTTATAGAATTAAAATAAAAAAAATTATCAGATTTGATTTAATAGTTGAGATAATTTAATTTAAAGTTAAAAAAAAATTATTTAAAAACAATTTGTCTGATTTTTTTTGAATATTAATGATAAGACCATGTTTTTGTCTTTATTAAAATTTAATTTAATTCTCTTATAAAGCAAAGAATATACTGCTCTCTTACAAAGAAAAGATAATATAATTTGTCTGATTTTTACTAACATCCCAATATATAGAAGCTTATACTGTATAAAATTA